GACCGCGACCGCGACGGCCCGACGACAACCCCGGCGACAACACCCACGCCCCCGACAAGCACCACCGCACCAAACCCGGCGACAAGGAAAGGGGAAGGACGACAACGAGGACACAACCCCCAGCCCACAACCCAACGGCGCGGCAACGAGGCAACACCGACACCAACAACCCCGACACCAAAAACAGCCACAAACAAACACCCCCAGGCGAAAGCCACCACCGAAGAAGCAACAACGACACGAGAACACCGCCGACAACGCCCACCCCGACAGGACAGAGCACCGCCAGCAAAAGCGCCGGGCACGACGACAACAACCAAGACGACGAGAGGGACAGCAACGACACGACACCGACGGGGACGGCAGGAGCAGAAGCGACCACGACCGCGAGGACACAACGAAGAACAACAACAACCCACACCAACACGACCACAACGACCCAACGACAAGACACGGACAAAGCCAAAGCCAAACAAAAAAAACAACCAAAAACACACACCACAAGATCCTGAGAGACACACACTTGTCAATGCAGCACTTTACCAGCGTTCGCGTGCAGCGTCGAGCAGCCAGTAACCCAGGGCACCGTGAGCTGAAGGAACTCATCGGCATAGTTTAATTAACGAGACTGCACCGCTCACCTCTCATCAACTACACATTCGGGGATGCGGTGGCGAAGAAAAGAGACACATCAAACTTCGGAGTGCTCCCAGCTAGGACCTGAGCCGAGTCATGGGGCCCGAAATGCATGATCATACTCGCCGCCTCATCCGAGAGAACGGTTTTCGACCCCAAAACCCAGAGCTCTTTCGAGGAGGTTTTTACCTGCAAAGACAGCTTTCTGACCTTTGCAGTGCTCTGTCCGCCTGTTCCTGCCAACTGCAGTTTAAGGACGAACTTGCGAGCATCACCCCCTGCAACTGCAAAGCTCTGCGGTCCAACCGGTTTACGGAAAGTCCCATGACGTTTGATTTCCAAGGGCTCCACGGGAATAGGCTCGCAACACGGGCCTCTCCAGTACTCAACCCTCTGTGCTACCTCAACTGGATCAAAGCCACGGCGAAAGGTGACCTGGATGGTGCGCGCGCCGGTGCTGGTGTCCACCTCCTTGATGGCGTTTTTGAGTTCACGAATCGCTGTTCTTGCAGCATCTACCTGAGTCTGGCTAAACGCCATCTCGAGCGTGAATCTTGACGACTCCTTGGCACCCGCATCACTCTTCGGAACCATGTCCGGGCATGCGGAGCTCGCGTGGTCAGGCTGCGACTTGAGGGGCGGAGTGAGGGCACAACTCTGGGAAGGCGCTTCCTCCCCCCCCAAGATCTCCTTTGCTACCTTCACAGCTTCATCATCGGACATCTCGCCTTTGTAAAGACGAACCAGAGCAAGGATGCCAAGTTTCATGCTACTTGGGCTCATCGTTTCTGGTACACCAGACAAAGGGTAATCATCAAGGCCGGCAGGCAAAGGACTCTCTGCCTTATGTTCCTGAGCTGGGGACCTTGAACGAGATGGCGACCGATCTCCACATGAGCTGCTGAAACTACGCATGCTTCTTGTCCCAGACCTGCTCCTGCATCTCGTGTCACTTTCCAAAAGCTTGAGGTACTCGCTGAATACTGCATTCACTCGGTCATGTTCTGAGACCATTGTCGACAACATGGCTCGCTGCAGCTATAGTACACCCTATCAGCCTAACGCCCTACAGACCTTCGAGTCAAGACAAAAACGGCCACTGAAAAAACAAAAATGAGCATGAATCTTCTCTGCCAGGTAAAACTCACAGAACTTACGATAAAAGAGGAGCGACTGTGTTTTGAAGACCACTCTGCACACAATGATTTGGGCGGATGGCCAAAGTCTTCGACTGAGCTCCAACCCCTACCAAGAAGCATGCATCCACGGAGCAGGCCTTAGTCCATGTGCAAACCACCAAAACTCAGGAGCCTTCACTACCAGCTCTCCACAAACAAAGAAGAGTGAACAAAAAAAACGCAATGCACCTCCGGGACACATCCTTAGCCTTAGCCCGAGAAGCTGGAGCAAACCTCAACACAGACCCCACAAGCAAACCACAAAAAAAAAAAAACAGCAAAAAA